GATAAATAGAGAGAATTACATAAGGTTTTTATGCCAACAAGTCTAGTTGCTAGAACATTTCGGATCCCTATTTTTAAATCAAGAAAATAGTTTCAACTGCCGTTCCAAAAAAAAAAAAATAGTATTAACATGATATTATAAAATCAAAGTCTTTTCTAACTTCGTTAGAGCCAAAAAAACACCAAGTATCCAAAACTCCAAAGCGTCCATAATGTTGTTAAAATGACAATCTTCGTGTAATTCTTTTTTAAAGCCAAGTGCTGCATGTCATTCACACCACCTCCAACTTTAGTTGCACCTTTAAAGTTTCTATCTTTGGTCCAAAGTCTTTCAACGAGATGTGGATGTGTTTTTCACTTGTTCGGAAAATTGTCTTGAGAGAGAGATGATGATGATGATGATGATGATGATGATGATGATGATAATAATTAAGAGTCTAATTTAGCATGTTTTAAACATTAACGTGTAATTTAGCATGTTTTGAATGTTAGGGTTTAATTTATCATGTTTTGAATTATAGACAACCAAGAAACCTAATATATCTCGTCTTATTAACGAAGTCAATACATTTTTAAAAATTCAGGGTCTAATTAACATAATTTTCTAAATGGTGATAAAACCAAAAGTTTGATGGCAAATTAATCAACATTATTAGCCTCAAATATCATCCCCTAAATTCAACTTTGCTAACACCATTTTCATAATCTCGTTAGATTCTTCAACAATGCCAACGGTATGTTCATAAGTTGTTTTCGGTGATCCTTCTTCTTATCTTAACAATCTTAACAGTACATATTATGTACTTATCAGTGGTACTTATATATAGATGTGAGTATTACCACATTGATTCAAATATCTCTTTTTGCATGATTAATAAAATTTTGTGCATATAAACATTGTTTGTGTGATAGTCAATGAGTAGAAATATCAACTTATAGGTTGTTGATGTAGATCGATGATCAAGTAATACATGATCATTTCTTTATTTTAATGTCGTAGAGTCACAATACCATGAAGTTCTCTAGCATTAAACCGTAATGTGAGAAAAAAAAGAATTATCACACTTTGATTAGATGTCATCCTCATTGAACATGAAAAGGTGATGTGATTCAAGTACGTTGGAAAACTTTTAAGCACGTTGTTATTAGTCTAATTGGGCATCTTGGTCCAAATAAGGGGTAGAGTAAAACTTGGTAATTTACCAATATTTTAATATTTATAATTAAAAGACAAATTAATGCAAAATAAACCGATTAGGATTTTATTTTTTGAGAAAATTTATCAAGGGATGAGGAAGGAGGAAAAAAGCGATTTTTTTAAGGTTACGGAATTCTAGCAAAGGATTAGAATTTTAGAGTTCATTGGTAACCCATTAATGTAAGAAATTCTTACATTTTTGTTGTTTTTTTCTTTAGGGTTTGGAAATCATAGGAGAAACTGAGAAAGCCATTGGTTTGAAAGGTTTAGGAATCGATGGAGTTTTGGCATGATGTTAGGAACACATATTTGTTTCTTTGATGTTTGTAGGTGCCAAAATCAACTCAAAGACTTGTAAATTGAAAATTTGAAAACCTAAACCAAAAGTAAACTAATGGGGGACTAGAAATTGAAAGATCATGAAGTTCATTTCAAATCATAGACAATGGATGAAATCCAGGGGTTATATAAAATATAAACATATAAAAACATTAACAGGTATCAAAAAAGTTAGAATCAGATTTAGCATAGTAGGTTGCTATTTTTGGCTTTTCTACACACAAAAGGGAGATAATTGTCTTTACATAGACCGTAGGAAATCCATTTAATATTTTACATGTGACGAGTAAGCTGTAAATGAAAACGAACGAGTGTTGTTTATGTTCATTAATTTAAGTTAGTCGAACAAACAAACGAACATGAATGGATAAACGAACAATTTTTTGTTCATATTCGTTCATTTAACAAATTACATTGTTCATGTTCGTTCATTTATGTCTGTGAATATGCATAACCAACATAAACGAACGAATATAAACATAATTGAGTATATAAACATTAACAAACATAATTGAATTTATAAACATAAACAAACATATAATATAGTAATTTAATCAAAGACAATTGAAAATATATAAACATCAAATGCATTTAAATGAATAGACATAAACGAACGTAAATGAACATTAACGGACATAATTGAATCAACAAGATCATTGTTCATGTTCGTTCACTTAACCACGTGAATGATAATTGGTGCTCATGTTAGTTTATTTGTTAAATAAACAAAGGTAAACAAACTTCTCACCGAACAGTTCATTGAATGTTCGGTTCTTTTGCATCCCTACACACGAGTAGTCATTTATCTCCTTTTGGTGATTCCAAGTTGCCCAATACTAGTCTTGATGCCTCTCACATGCTCTTATTGCTCTTGTAAGGACATGTAGGTATGATGATTATAATTTCTTGTTGAGAAAATTGGGATATAGAAATGAGTGGTCAATAGTGATTTAGTGCTTTGAGTTTGTAGTGAATCGTGAAAGAGATGAACGGAAAAAGGTAAGTTGTGTAGTTTAGTGTCAATGTTCTTTATAGATTAGGGAAAATCAATTTAGCGAAAAAGGTTTCCAAAACAGTTGTTAAACAAGAGTACGGAAGTGGAGAAGTTATTGGAGCCCCTGATGAACACTTGATCTCTTTTTTTTTTTTTTTTTTTTTTTTTTTTTAAGATTTAGTATATGTTTTGATTTATGGAGGCTTTGGTTTTTTTGGATATGGTTCATGAGTTGAATAGTTTTATCAAAAATACACACAACATATATTCCAGATAATAAGCATTCAGTACACATATAAGTTTTCTATTAATATTTAATACTTTTATATAAATGTGCATCATGAAAATAACTACACACTCATTATACAAGATAGACATTTAATCTTTAAAGTAATAAGTACTTTTATTAAGATCATGCTCATGAAAGTAACTACATACTCACCTTATTAAAGGCGGAAGATTTGCGGGTAACTTAGCTCTTCATCTAACTCCTTTGTTTTCCCTTTTAAACGACCTAAGTACAAATATTACTAAGTTTTAGTTTTCATTTATATTTATATTATTAAGGAAATATTAACTATTTTTTGGACCCTTCATTAATCCTGAAAAATACCAAGTTCTATCAAATAAGATGATATTGGAAGTAGGATCCATTTGGTATATAAATATATATTGTTTGGAAAATCCACTTTAAACACTTCACTAAGATCTTGCCTAAACACCATGCCCGCAAACAGATCAAACATTATTATAACTGGTATTACTGATAAATCTTGTTTATAGGTTCATAACAATGAAAATGAACATAACATAAGTTACACTTAACAAACATAGTAAGTGCAACTCACCTTACAGGATCATTTAGCGAAAACTTGAAATTCCGCGAGCCTGACTTCGACGCTGGATCCGTCTTTTAGAAAGATTCTCCAGCGCTCTGCTAACAATAATAAGAATGAAGAAATCAAATCACAAGGGACTGGAATCTCAAGGGTTGAGAGAGTATTCGATCGAAATTAGCTAGGAATAAAAGAGGGGTAGATTTGCTATTTATAGCAAAAATTTCTCAAAAAGTGTAACACCGTGATTTTTCACCAAAAATTTTCTTTTTATTTTAACCCGTTTTAATCAGAAAACGTTAGCGGAAATCTTATATTCTTTATTAAGAAAACATTACTAGTGTTACTTATTTCAAACAACCATTTGAAACAAAGTTTACAAATTAAGTTCTCAAAAGTAGAGTAATGAAAACTCAACAAAATGTCCCAAAATGGTATCATAGTAAGCATAGTAACTACCCAAAAAATGCATTCCAACTCACCAAGGTCTTACTCCTTCTTAACTTCCTGTACCATTCAAAGCAACATGGCAAACACACAACAAATCAAGTGTCAATATCAACAAAGTGAGTCAATCCAACGATACAGAAACAGAGATATTTCATACAATTCAAACACACATACACATAACATTTCATGTTCTATACCCCGTTCGCTACTAACATGACCTGACGACCCAATGCACAAATTGAGGTATGACTCTCCCCCCGTAACATTGTCTCCGGTTCTCCGCGTTTACTATTTCGACAATACCCAAAACCTACGTCGTTCGAGAGTGGTCCAAACGGTAGTTCCGCGAACATACCTCCCACCCAAACATGATGTTTGTACATGACATCCAAGATCACCAACATCGCTCTAGCCCTACACACTTGGACCATGTGTATGAATGGTCACCTAGAAAATCATTGGACCTGACTGTGGCTTTAGCTTTCTGTCTCACCAAATGTCCATTCAGGTTATGCACCCAAACTTAGGCTACTACCTATATATATATATATATATATATATATATATATATATATATATATATATATATATATATATATATATATATATATATATATATATATATATATATATATATATATATATATATATATATATATATATATATATATATAATCTAAAGAAAACCAAATTGCCAATTCACATATGATTAGTAATCCCAAAATTATTTAAGGGATTCACACACGTCCATGTAAAACCAAATTGCAAATCAACATGTAAATCTTCTAAGAATCACAAATGGATTATCTATAAACAATTTGCATTTTTCTATATTTAATTCATATGTAGATCTCTATAAATATGGAAATCAAAAACTACATTCGAGGGCATCATATACGCATTATGTTTGTCCTTTTTAAATCTGTTGAGATATTCTTAATAATCAACTAATCTACAAGTCGTATTCGATGAGATACTTAGAACAATAATTTTACACTCAACCACTCGAAATAAGGCAATACAACATTCTCAAAGGTGTATTCTCTAATATTACACTCAAATACAATACTCAATAATGAATCCAACCTAATATTTCCCTTAATTCTTTTACAAATCCCAATCTCAAACAATTTTCTACATGTATCTACAAAACTCTGTTCTTGAACAATCTTTAAGAAAAAAAACCTTCAACACAAAGGCTTTTGCCTCTCTGTTTCAAACCTTACAATCTTCTAAAACACATTTTCACTCGACTTTCCTGTTTCATGAAATCAAAATAAATTATAATCTTACATTCTTCTGTAGCATATCAACATTCTTGCATAGATTGTAATCATATCTAACCTTTAATGGACAGGATCCATTGGGAATGCAGGATCTGAAGAAAATTTGTTGGGTGTTTTCAGCTTCAACACTTCTAGAATGATTGAAGTAAGAATAATGGCAGCAAGAACAAACCCATAACCAATTTTCCATGAAGATCCTGCATCAGCAAGCTGTATACCTAGAAATACATTTAAAGCTCCAAAGACGAGAGCAATTCTTCCAACATAATGATGATACCAATTCCATAACCTTCTATGCTTACTGTCCTTATCAGGTCTTATAAAGAATGCCATAACCTAAAAATTTCAAGAAACACACAAATCAATTGCATATCACTCTTGATGTCAAACATTTCTGCTTTCAATTCAAAAAAGTTTGAAGCTTTTTACATTTCCAACGCTTCAAAACTTATCTTTTTCATTTTTTGGGTAATGGGTTCACATACCCATCAACCTTTTTCTTGATTTTTTAAGGACTCGATTCTGAATTTCGAATTGAAATTAAGTATGTTTGACCTCAAAAGTCAAACTTTAAGTTTTATACCTGTAGAACACTGAGCACGATGGCAGTTATTCCAATGCCTTTGTGAGTTGGCGCATGGAAACTAAACCTATTGTACATACTCAATCCCACAAATCCTGTAGCGACTGCAAATATGAATCCAACAAATTGAAAGGATACATGCAGATAATACCATAACGGATCTTTATGCTTGAAGTATCTCGCGACAATAGCTCCATATGGCAGGATTATACCCCATCCGAGTAAACCCAATACCCCATGAGTCGTTTTTGAACGATGGAGATTGTTAGAAGGCGTTCTTGAATTCGAATTCGAATTTGATCCAGAAGAACCTGAGGAGAAAAGGGTAAAATCGCAAAAGGGCAGAAAAAGGGTAAGCTTAATGGATAACGATTGACTCGTTAAAGGTTAAAACGAACCTTGAGAGAAATCCAAATGGATAGTTGTCTTGTCTTCATGAACAGATAGGAGGTGGTGCTCTGGGTATTTGCTTGAGAAAGCCAATAAAATCGGTTGAGTTCTGAGTTGACTCGGGTACTGGAGTTGATATGCTAAGTGAATCTTTGCGCCGTTGACGGTGACAAATGGAGGAATTCCGGTCAAGGGTAGCTCGCCCTTGTCGTGTTTTACTTCCGACGGCTTGAAACCTTCGGCGTAGTATTGTTTAATTACCGGAGTACCCTTTCGGGTGATCCATCCAACCATGGCACTTGAGTTTAGCATCATGCCATCTTTTGAGAACCCCATTGCAACGTATCCACTTGTGTAGGTTGCTGATAATACGATTGTGACTACATTGTCTTTGCTCTGTGAGAACTGTTTTTGGAATTAGAAAAGTAATCATGTTAAATGGGAAATTGGGAATCAATTACAAAAGCCCTAAATTTCTTAATTGTTTGAAGCTATAATCAGTCAATCAGAAGTAACTTTTAAACTGTGAATCTCGGATCTATTCCTCATACATATTTTCACATGATCTGATTACAATATTGGATGAATTCGAATATTGAAAAAGGAGAATGGAAATCGCCATTGAAGGGAATGGGAACTTACTCGAACAATGTATGAATTCCAGACAGGTTTACACACCATATGCGTCATATTAGCATATGGAAGAGGAAGAAATGCGTTGATGTCTTGGCTGCATTCATCGGATACCACCACAGGAACCACCACAAATGACACAAAAACAGCTAAAACCCAGAATCTGGAAACCGAAATCATTGCAAATTGGAGGGAATCAAGAGATGAGAAGAAGCGAGAAGAGAAGTGAACTGGAAGAGATGAGTGGGCAAGAAGGTTATGATGATTTTGTCAAGAGATTTCTTCGTTTTGAAGGTTGCCTGGTTGGTTGGTTGGTTGGTGGTAGTGATAGAAGAGGTGGCTAATCAGTAATCATGATCATCACATCATACAATTTTCCCGCCATTTATACAAACTACTTTTTGAAAATACAAATTTATATGTATCTTTGTAATATATTTTTATTTGAGAAAGGTACGATTATTATTTTGTCTTCGGTCATAAAAATGTTTTTGATAATATTGAGTTGGATGGAAAAATATACATATTTTGAATGGTTTTACTCTTTATATCAAATTTTTTACCATTAAAACCCTAAACTTTGAGGCTTGTTTTAAAAAAATATCATTTAGCATGTTAATACTCTATTAGCCGGTTGCACTCTTCTTACGTGACACATACTTTTAGATTTTTTGGCTTTCGAGTCGATGTTTTTTCCCACAGTTAAAAAATAAAAGTGGCGGCAAGACATTGTCATGAGGCTAAATGTCATTTTCTATAAAAATAAAGAAATAAATAAATGAAAAATACGTTTAGTGGTGAAGACTTTGTAATTATATTTGAGAAGACGGAGAGTTTGAGTTTTGACAACCCAATAAATGGGCCTTACTAAGATTCAAACTTTCTACTTGCTCATTGAAATTGACAAAGTATTTATCAATGAGTTGCATATTTTTTGGTGTATAAAATGATACACTTTTTAATGTTGATTGTATAAATTTGTAGAAGCTTTTAATTATATGAGGTGATTCGTATACAACAGTTTTTTGTCGTACATAATAATTTATGCATTATATAGTTGTATAATACAATATTTTAAAGCACTAATTATATTGTATGAATAACATTTTTTATGTACGGATCAACTCATTTTATTTATTTATTTATTATTACTATTATTATTATGTTTTACAGTAAAAGAAAAAACTATACTTGTACTAGTAAATCCTTTATCACTTAGTTGTCCTTTTACCGATATCAATGTTACTTGGTCATGAAAAGCAATAAAACATATAGAATGTAAGCTTTACAAGCTTAGTGAGTAATCATATTAGCACAATACAACAATATAGTTATAACAACAATCATCAATATTACACATTAAGTAATTATATTACATTCCACTTTTTAGTTCCAACATTAGGTTCTTAGCTTTACCAATTATAGGATCTCAGCTATCAGCTTAAATAGCTTTATTAGTAATATTCTGCTATAAATATTTAGTTACGAAATCATAGATTTCAAATATATACAGAGAGAATAGTTATATTCAGGTATAATTATTTATTCATAGCAGAAATAGTTATATTCAGTTACAACTATTTCGAATTATTCAATTACTATTTTTTTGCTAATATAAGCCATACCACTTACATGTGGATCTAAATGTTAGCCACATACAATCATTATCCTTTCAATATCCATATCACATATAATCCGATTATAATCTCATTGCACATTAACATAACACTAATCATTCGTCAAGGATGTAAGAGAATCTTGTCTTTGTCCTCGTTTCCCTAATTGTAAATTTAATAAATCATCTTGAGTACCTCAATCCAAGACACAATCATTAAGCACAAATTAACTCCTATATTTCTGTAAGTATGAAACTAGCCTTCATAGTTAAGGTTTAGTCATACTTTCAAATTATTCAATTATTACTTTTCTGCTAAAGTAAGCAATACCAATTGTATTCGGCTATAACTGTTTGCCACATACACTTACCGCCCACTTAATGTCCATAGCACATATACTTCAATTATAATCTCATTGCATATTAGCATAACACTTACCCTTCGTCAAGGATGTAAGAGATTATTCATCTTGAAAGAGCTTAATAACTTGAGGCTCAAGTGCTTGTAATCCTTTCTTTGTCCTTACTTCCATAACTGTAAATTTAATACATCATCTTGAGTACATCAATACAAGCCACAACTCATTAAGCATAGCTTAAACTTCTATATTTCCATAACCATGAAATTATCCTTCATACTTAAGGTTTAGTCATCTTCTATAATTATCTCATATTCATGTGTTAATTCATTAACACATATACTTTATCTTACCATACACATCAACTCATTATCACACCTTTGTGTACAACCATTTAGACATGACTTAATCATTTAATCAAAATTGATTATACTCAATGAATAAGACATTCATATGTCTTAACTAATTAAGATATAAGTTCGATTTTATTTATACCAAACTTCACTGAAATTAGGGGTTATGTTCTTCATCAAATCAATTATGAATTTAACTCCTAACTCTTGAAAAAATGTTCATTAAGCACACTATAACCTCATTATCATGTTTCCTTTTCCATATTAAGCATACAAAATCAAAGGTACTATATCTAATCAATTCCACCATAAGAACCCATGTAAGTTTTTATGAAGGAGAATATACATATGATTCCAAGCGTGAAGGCTGATATTCTTGATTCTCTTGGTAATCCTATCTCTAAGCTTCAACTGTGTGTTAACCCCTTCAAAATCGTCTTATGATCTCTCTAAAAAGTGTGTGTGTGTGTGTGATATTAAGCAAATAGCCATCTTTCTCTATTTATGGCTTTATTAATGAATTTCGGTCCTTGTACACGATTGTGTTTCATGTTACATGACCGTGTAAACCCAATATCATACTATAATAGCAACCTACTTTATTTATTTCATCTCTTGGCACTTCAAATTACTTACACAATCGTGTAAGTGATTACATGATCATGTAATCCTCTAGGATGGCCTAAAATATCATTATATTATTTCTTTTTTGTTTTAAGACCCTTTGTTCTACTTACTCAATCGTGTAAGACCATTACACGATCGTCTAATGCCCTTCTGAGCATTTTTAGTCAATATAGTTTACTCCTTATACAATAGTCTTCTTCTACCTCCTCATACAAATTCAATATTTGGTGAATTTTATATTCACGTAATCGTCTCGAAGTCAACTACAACTTTCCTGTAAAAAACTTCCACCAAAATGTTTTACATTTTTATTTACGATATGACAAACATAAGGATATACGATACTTTTAACATAATTACCAACAAGTACATACTTGTCTATCAATATCTACCACAATCTAACGTATTACTCACTGTAACTACTAGGGGTGTAAACGAGCCCGAGCCTGACCAAGCTCGAGCTCGACTCGTTTAATTTTCAGGAAACTCGAGCTCGATTCAAGCCTTAAAATAAAGCTCGAGTTCGGTTCGTGAACATTTTAGTGGGCTCGCGAGTCTAATCGAGCCTAAACGAGCCTCTTTGTGTGTGCGTGTGTGTGTGTGTGTATATATGTGTGTGTGTGTGTATGTATGTATGTATGTGTGTGTGTGAGTGTTTATATATATATATATATATATATATATATATATATATATATATATATATATATATATATATATATATATATATATATATATATATATATATATATGAGGCTCATTTATTAAATGAGCTCAAGCTAAGCTTCAATTAATGGGCTCACGAGCCTAAACGAGCTTAAATATATATATATATATATATATATATATATATATATATATATATATATATATATATATATATATATATATATATATATGTTCGTTTAAGCTCGTTTAGGCTCGTGAGCCCATTAATTGAAGCTCAGCTTGAGCTCATTTAATAAACGAGCCTCATATTTAGGTTCGAGCTCGGCTCAGACTCGTTTAATTCGATCTCGAGTCGAGCTTTTAACAAGTCGATTCCGAGTAGCTCAACTCACTTACACCTCTAGTAACTACTAAGTCTTAATACGAGATATTACACTTATGTATAGTTTTCATAAATACAACAACTTTCGGTTTTAGGAAAAAAGGGACGTGGATGTGTAAAGTTGCTCACCATTTCCTCTGCTAGATTCTAATAATTTTTTTAATATGCTGTTTTTTTTCTCTAATAATTAATAGTTAACTATAGGTTTTTTTGTTAGATGTGGTTAATTTTTTTCTATTTTGACATACGATACACAAAACATATTGGTGTAGTGAATTATCTCGTCAAATTTGGTAGCAAGATTATGCATTGTCGTATAATTTGTGGGGTATGTTTGGGGGAAAGTTGTCTTGTTTTGGTATGTCTGAATTATGATAATTGAGCATAGCGTAAACATTAACTAAAAAAGGACATCATTTATGGTTAAGGGTCACCAAAGTGTTGGTTGGCTTTTTTTCAAGTTAATAATTTATTGTAGCATTTTAATTATTCTTCTACATACAAATAATTTTATATTTTTTTCTGTCAAATAACATAAATTAAAAGTCAAAATACATAAAATATCTCTATTTTATTATTTTATTGTTATTGTATTTATTTTATTAATTAGTTCATTATATAAGAAAATCTCTAAAAAAGTTTTAATATTTTAGATTAGTTTATGAAATAGTTCCAAATTATTATTTTTTTACAAAAAAGTTTTAAAAACCGGTAAAATATTGCATTCTAACCCTATTTTCTAAGTTTAGACACTAACAAATTAATTTGACACTATTTCGTAATTTGACCTAAAATATTAAGACTTTTTTGTAAAAACCAAAATATTTAGACTATTTCGTAAACTGTTCCAAAATACATATGAAAAACGTTTTATATATTTTTACACCTTACAAAACGTTTTCAAAGTTTTTTTTTTCGTTTAAACGTATTTATACGTATTATTAAATACATGTATAAAAATATTTAAATCAAAAAAGAATTTTTTAAAAATATGTTTTTTTTTATAGATGTAAAGTTAAGTTTTTATATATTTTTAAACGTTTTATAAATGTAAAGATAAAATTTTGTTGATACGAACATTGTGTGGGCTTATGTGAAAATGGTGATGAAGATTGATGTGAAGACACTCTTGATATTAAGTGTTTTGAAGATATCTTTGTGTGTTCACCACACTTAAGAATGGTCTCGTCTTTTCATTGTACCTTTCTAGTCTATTAACAAATGAGTTAGGAGTTGTTCAAATATGTGTCTTGTACCCGCATATGTTTTTTCTAGGTGTGAACCTGTAACACGATACGAACCCGACACGAAAATATAGAGGTATCTCTACAAAAGTCATAATATTTTGGATCAGTTTACGAAACAATTCCAAATAAATTTGCTACCGACTAAACAAAACAAAATGTCAGAATGCAATCTTTTACTGGTTTTTAAGATCTTTTTGTAGAAAAAAAAATAACTATTTTATAAACTGACCTAAAATATTAAGATTTTTCTGAAGATTTTCTTATATTTTTTAGATTATCAAGAAACTTTATTTTTCATTGTTAACTTGTTTTGATATTTGTACAGTATACATAAAATACAACGAATTTTCTTCCCCCCATGTTTTGGTTTTTGTTGAACAACAATTTAAGTTAAAACTCTTGGTTAATTTTGTGCTGAAATTCGTTGCTCACATTTGGTGTAAACGTATACAAAATCTAACATTGGTGCTTACTTTGGAAATTCTATCTCACACACACAATTTACATTTTCATAAGAAAATAACATCCACAAGATACTTTCATTAAAATATCAAAAACCCAAAAAAAGTCATTTGACAAAAGAATAATTAGAGATTATAAAATAATCAAAGTAACTAAACGATAAACCGATAAAAATCTTTAAGGAATTGGGATTCATCTACTTGGCCCATACAACTGTATCAATCTCACATTGTGCAGCTCGATACAATTCCAACCTTTTCACCGTGTTTTGACGCCTTTGCGTTATCTCCGGATCTTCATCTAACAATTTACCCAATTGTCTCCCCTATAAACAAAAAAATAAAAACATATTAAAAAAAATATATAATAATCACATAATAAATTTCTATTTACCTCCTTCGCCCCCAACTCAGTGAAAAATCGATCAAGTAAGCTTCGTTTGGCCTCACGCACTTGACAATAAACAACTGATTTCGGTATCGAGTGTCTCAAAGTCCCAACCACCATATGCACATACGCCAAAACATTTGATCCTAAAAAAAGATTTTTTTTTTTAATAATAAAAATTATATATTTATAAGTAGTATTATTTATTAATACATATACATACCAACGCGACGAATATAAGCATCGTTATATCTATCATAAATCGAATGTGTTGGATTTCCGCCCTTTTCAACATCTTGCGGAAGGTTCCGGAAGAAATCAACTGTCAGATAACTGCATTCCATGTCAACTAACTGTATAGCAGCTCTCTTGCTTTCGTTCCTCATTCTTTCTAATGATTCGTAAGCTGCATTCATAACTTCCACTTTAAGCGGTGGATAATTTTTCAACTCCTACAAATATATACAAACCAATATATATATTATATATGCTTTAGAAATATAAAACATATTCCGAAAACATCATACTAAGTTACTAACCTTGGTCTCCTTAATTGACTTGCGAACCAGATCCCTCAGTATATCATGAACCTGAAAGAAAAAAGGGAGTAAATTACAAAATCAGAAACTACAGGGACCATTTTTGTAAATTACTTTGCATACGTACAGCATCAACAACTGCTTCGGTGGGAAGTTTGATGGTGACTAAGGTGGATTCAATGAGGCGTCGGTATCCTTGTTCAGGGGCAATTAAATGTGGCTGATATCCATCAGCTTCTGTGATTAGTTTTCTCACATTCTCCATCGAAAGTTGTTTGTCGAATTGTAATCTCTTTAAAGCAGATGGAAGTTGATTCTCAAATACGCCATACACTTTCTCGCCACCTGGTCGTCTGGAGGAGGGTATAATCGTCAATAGCTTAAAATATTAGATTAATTAAGAACATGGAATTACCAATTAGGGTATTAATTTGATAATACTTACATCCCATCGAGATGTTCTTTGAATGTTTGATCAAAAGCGCGACATATTTCCATAATCATATATAACTTTCCCTGGAATAAATTTAACAAAAACACCGCTTTCAATTTCAAAACAAGGGTAAAATTGTCATTTTGTGAAAGATTACCCCGGAATCAGCAGCAATGGGATTCCCAAGACGGTTTAATTCTGTTTCGAGGTCGAGTATTGTTTTGTTGATGAGAGACTGAAGGCCTGGAATCCGAGATTTAATCAGGGATTCCAAATGCTGAAATTTATACATTATGTAGTGAGAAACTAAATTACAGAAATGATCCCTGTAGTTTTATAAAAATACAAGGTTCAGTCTAACTTCAGATTTTCTTACATGATTGGTCCTATGGCTTTATCAGTATTTACAAAACCAGGGATTAAAATTGCAACAAAATGAAACCATGAAAGAAAAACAGAAATTGGACTGAACCTACTGTTTCACCAAACCACAGGGACCATTTATGTAATTCATTATATATCTTTGTTTTTAAACTAAAGTGTACCCTTGAAAGCACTTTGCCTAGATGTTCAGAGCCCATTCTGTTAGCAAGATGTGAGTATTCAGGGGAATTAAAAAAGTATTCACGTTCTTTCCTTCGAGCAGCAATCATGTCAATGTTTTTATTAATATCAGCTTGAGATCGATTCACAACACCAATCCATGGAAACTTAAGCCTATGTGATCTTCCTTCTAAAATCTACAATAATATAACAATGTCAATATACAATAAGTCATATATATTATTAAGTCAACAAATCCAAACCAGCTTATAAGCTTACATCAACTGCATCAGTACCCTTGTCCATAAGGTCAATCTTTGTCAAAACTCCAAAAGTTCTCTCCCCTGTATATATATAAGATTCAAAACTAAGATATGAAAAATATTTAATTATTTGGAAAAATATTATTACCTTTAGGATCCACTTCACGAGAAATTTTGATAGCATCAGATGTTGCAAGATCTTGGTTGGCAGGAGAAACGGCTAGAATAATGCAATTAGGCTGCATGACAAAATCACAATGCAATTGAAAATAAATATTAATATTATTCTTCGATTCTTTTAAGCATATAAGAAGATTTGGGTAAATTTGTAAATAAATAAATATATATATATATATATATATATATATATATATATATATATATATATATATATATATATATATATATATATATATATATATACCTTTTCAATGTAGGACCTCACCATGTTTTCAATATCTTGCACAATGCTATCAGACTGCCCCTCTACAAATTTCATAATATAGGTGAAAATATATTAAAATAATCAGATAGAGAAGTTAAGTTAAATTGCAGAATATTATAAATGGTGTAAACTTACCAACAGCTATTTTTGTCAAACCAGGAAGGTCAATGAGGGTCAAGTTCACCACTATAAAAGATCAAAATTCAGACATATATATTATGTTTTTTACATTTGATATGATGTACATGACACATAATTTTTTTTTATATAATTATATATCATACCATTAGGAGAATAGATACTGAGATATATAGGAACAGATGAGATCTGTTTGGTACGACCTGTCACTCTATCAGTTTCATCACCAATCTCCTTTCTCACAGCAGCTAAAAAAGTATATAAAATTGTAACAAGATCATTCAGAGTGATTGAGAATTGCAAAAGGATCATAAAATTTTTAGTCATGATACCAAAATCAGTGAACCATTTTCTTGGAAGGTGAGCAAACTCTGCATATTCTTTTCCTTCTTCGATCTTATGAAGCTGTAGAACAAGAGGACGCCGAGTGACAATTCCTGCAAATAGATGTTAATTAATTAGTCATATTTTATATCCGCAAATTTGAATCAGAAAATTTTGAAGATATAGTAATTACCAGAACCACGAGGCAAAAAATCCTTGCCAACGACACTCTCCAACACAGATGATTTCCCAGAGCTCTAAAAACAGTTTATGGAAATTGATTAGAGTGAAGTACATTTGCACGAATAAAAACTGCTTACACAATTTCCCACAGTTTTACACTTTGATCTAAATGTAGTCGTGTCGATAGATATTATTTGGGATTAGAATTACAGATCATCTTTCTCCAGACCGAAGTTGAAATATCAGATAAAGAAAAAAGAAACACAAACACGATAAACTATATTGAGAACTTAAATGGTTGCAAGAAATCACAAGTGAATGAACGTCTTGAATTAACTCATTGATTGGATTGAAAAGAAAGGAAATTATGATCGGCGATTAAATATCTGCATATTTATACCTGACCGCCGACGACGGCGATTGTAGGCAAGGCGTCCCAGAGAGTAGGAAGAGAGGATTCTTCACCGAAGTCGCCTAGGGCTGTGCATGCTTTCTGTAGTTTGTTGACGAGATTAATTAGAGTGTCCATTAACAATTACGATCAATAAGAGATGACAGGTTAATCAAATACGATTAGGTGATTAGGGATTTCAGAAATTGCAGATGGAGAGAAAGGCGGAAAAAGATGAAACAAATTCCAACGTCAATGAGTGTAAATTGGGATTTTTGAGTTTAAAGTTAGTTTGTAGAAGAAACGCATTAGAAGGGCACGTATGCATGTGCGCGTAGGCGCGCGTGTGTTATTGGGTGGGATGTTTTTGAATATCATTAAAAAAAAAATAGAGTAAATTACACAAAGATTTTGAGTAATTTGTGTTTTGGTATCTAACTTTCTTTTTAACACTATTGAAAATGATATGAATTTTTAAGTTTTTAATTTTTTTTGGTTTTACTACTTTTAGGTTTCATTAAAGACTAAAATTCACATAGATTTTTTGTATTTTCACCGAGAGGTTTACTCAGTTGGGTAACCGGTTACATATACAACTATCACGTCACATAGGCCATATTGGTCCGACCAAGCGCCACATAGACGCTGAGGTGTCTTGTGTTCCCTGTTCTTTTTAAAAACAAGCGATTAGAAGAAGAAAAAATGACAGTTGTTTCGAACTTTCAACTTCCAGGAGATCAAAGAACGCGTTTACCATCGGAGATCAACTTCCAGGAGAAAAAATGACAGTTGTTTCGAACTTTCAACTTCTAGGAGATCAAAGAACGCGTTTACCACTGGATTGGAACAACTCTTATACATATCATCCTCATTTCCTTTTATATATATATATATATATATATATATATATATATATATATATATATATATATATATATATATATATATATATATATATATATCCATGCTTAATAAAAACCTCCTTTAAACGCCACATGTCCATCTTTTACGCAAGCCTTCTGCCACGTGTCATTCTTTTGTTCACTCCTATTTTGGTTTCTCGCTCAAACTTTTCTATGTAAAGTTATATCCGATTTTTTGTTTTTGATTACAAATATCTCATAAAATCAGCAACAAATATTCCACAAATCAAGTTAATAGCAAGAAATCAGGAGCAAAATTTTGAATGAAATCTTATGTTGTCTTCCTATATATGAGACAATGTGCCATCTAGGGTTTTTTTTGTGACTGCGATTACTCTCCTAACTCCTAAGTCCTAATCGATCATTTATCCACAATCTCTATAGAAAATTGAAAATCAGCGGTAAGTGATTTCTCTTACGTCTTCTTCCTTGATTTTGTTTAATAGAATGTATCTGTATTTTCTTCCTTTGATTTTGTGACACTTTTAGGAAAATGATACAAATATTTAAAATCGATTCAAAACTTAGGTGAAGAAACTAAGTGCTTCAAGAATGCATATTACTCCTATAAAAATGGATGATTTTTAACATCAATAATATTTTATTTTTATCTTGATTTTGATGATGAGTTTTTTTTTTCCTGTTATTTATGATGGAGATCGGGGTTTCATCAACCTCTTTTTCTCTTCCAGTCCCTTTGTGATCTCTAGGAATTCCATGTAAGGTTCAAGAAACTTAATATATTATTTTTTAATCAAACCGGTGATGGATTCATCCTAATCTCAAAAAACCATGAAGGAAATCTCATTTAACTTTCACTCGTATACGCCTATAATGTCTTTAAGATTGATAAATCAATTTTCCCTATTAAATTTGATAAATTCTCTCTCCGGTGGCGGTACTCATGGAGGAATATCGAGAAATTGTTTTTTTTTTTTGTTCTTACGTCCACGCCTTTCAATCTGTGTTAGTTTCCTTTCTTTGTCTTTCTCTCTAAAAATTGGTTGCAAACAGCCAACAGGAAGACAAAAACCAATTTTAAACCCCAAAATTTTTGTGGGAGATCTTGAAGCCAAATCTATGCTGATTTGAAACAGAATCGTATCTCTTCATGGTTGATTTCATAACGGGATTAAAGTTGATGCCGATTTTCGAACAGGTTCGATTTTTTCAACTTGAGTTTGGATTTCTGTATGCATTCCTAGCAGATTTTGAAATGTAATAGATTTTCAACAAAAACATCTAATAATGGTTCATTTTATAATTATTTGTGCTTCTTTTGGCATCACAATCATTTGGTTCTACTGAAATTTGTTTTCTAAAAAAAATAAGCAGTTTTCTTATAAATATAATAATCATACATAAAGCAACATCCTTGCCTGAGAGCAACATCCTTTCTTTCTGATTGGTGTAGCTAATATTGATTTTGATATTTTTTAATATTTTCTGATGGATAGGTTTCTTATATGATGTTGTGAATTAAGTTTCTTATTGTTGCGATCCATATATGGCCATGGCGGAATATGGAAATCTCAACTTAAATGGCTAAAAAAAGGTTATCCCTTTAAGGTGAAAATCTAAACATAACAGGTTAAATAAATGGTTAAATATGTGAACCTTATTTGACCGCCAACAACACTAAATTGAAGCTTTATTGGTTTATGTGTTAGAAAGTATGGTGATGTTTTCTTGGCATAGCCAAGAACATCTCTATCAAGATTAGCATTTACTTTTCAACCTATAATCTTTTAATTTAACAAATAACCAACTAAAAAATAGTTACAATATTTTGTTGTTTGTTGAAAAAAATGTAGTATTCTTTTACTATTGTGTCAACATACATGTACTATAATAGCAATGTACTTTGTTTGTTTATATTTTTTACAATATAAAAAAAACAGTCCAATTATACTTTTATTATTTACAATTAAATCTTAAAATCATATAATATATCAACGCACCTAACGCTTATGAACAGTGAATTTTGAAGTTGGCTAAAACCCTTGAGTCTTTGCCTTTGTTTTGGAATTGCATGAATTTGATCTCTCCTACATTATTCTGCACGCCTGCTTACTACTTCTACCGGTCGGAGTCTGTACAAAACAGAGTATTCGAAAAGAACGAAAGAAGTTAGACAAGAATTAAATACAACAACACCAAGGAAAAAGACAAAGAAAAACCATAATGGCCAAAAACCCATCCAGGAAAATCCAAACCTGCAGCAACTAATAGATAGCCTCTAGAAGTTGTATGTAGAGAACCTTGATGCACATCCAAGATGATATAGCAACACATATAAATGAACCAAATCAGCAGTAGACCATGACATATATATATAAAAGCCATACAACCTTTCTAATCACCACTATGACCAAAATACCCTCCACCTACCTTGAATCATATCTAAGGAGAAGACTCAACATAAATTTGAAGCAAAACATGAGCAGACCATGACATGTATAAAGAGGCCATAACAAATCCACAATGGTTCCAGTAAATTGATTTTTTGAATTAAAAAATACCCGATTTGGCTTTTGGCTCACTTCTTTACTAAAAACTAGACCAAAACATAGGTAGTCATGAATGATAGTTAACAAAAGGTGTAGTTTAAGGACCAATTTCATAGTATAGTAAAATTAATAGCTTACTTAATGAAGAATTTGATTTTGAATATTATTTTTTTGTATATAACTGATCTATAATTGTATAAGCAGATTGGTTTTTATAAAGTTTTAATAATAACATCTAGATTTCATTGTTTCAATTAAATGACTAGAGAGAGATGCAATAAAATATGGCTATCTTTGGGAGGATTACACAACATGGGTTTCGAGTACAAGTTTCTCTTTTCCGTTTACAAAAAAAGGTACAATTTTGATTTTTAAAACCCCTGGTCAGTAATTTTCAACTTTATTTATATTCATAGTTCTAATTTTTAGGAATTGAGCTAAAAATAACATGCTACTTTCTTTTTAATTCAAAAAATAGCATGCTAATTTCATTTTAAATAACATCTTACTTATCAGTCATATCCTAGATTACCAACTTTTGATTTTTGATTATACAAAAAGTAAATGGCATAACTGATTTTGTTCTTCAGTGGTTAGAAGATGATGTTGGAGAAGAAGAAATGACTGATTCTATTAATAGGGGAAACCAAGAAAAAAATAAGGGCAAAATACAAGAATTACCAATCATCTTTTCATTTTTTTATTAGTATTGGAATATACTTTTGTTTATTCTTATTATAACATTGTATTTTCATTTAAATTTTATTACATCATTGTATATTGAAAAGTCCATCAATCTTGACCATGATTTTTTTTTAGTTTTAGTCTAACACTACTATCATATTTTCTATCATCATATTTTCGATTGATTGTGATCGAGTAACGAATAAGACTTCCCTAAAATTAAACCAAAAGAGTTAAACAACGTGAAACAAAACAAAAATTTCAAGCTCAATTTCCTATATAAACCAAAACGTCTTATAATAATAGAACAATGAAGCTCTACATTTCTATCGAAATCTTACAAATTTGCATTTGAAAGAACAGATTTAGTTCCAAAAGTCACTTTTCAAAAAAGAAGAGATGTTTAATTTGAGGTTTTAATGGGAAGAATCTATAACTCTTTAGGATCATCAAACATGAAAACATATTAATTTTGTTATCTTTAAGTTATGAACCCATATATTTTTGTTATTTTAAGTTATTAACCCGTGTATTACGTTGTTAACACATCAAATTTTGTAAATAAATTAGTGATTTGCAAATCAATGAATAATCATTATTAGTTTTATAGCCTATATAATATTTTACTTTGTAGTCCGTGGTTTCCACGGGTTATAACCTAGTATATATATATATATATATATATATATATATATATATATATATATATATATATATATATATATATATATATATATATATATATATACTAGGAGTTTTTTAGACCCGTACTAAGCACAACCCATGATTAGCGTAAACTAAAGTGGATATTGGAAGAAATATCCATTGAAAGTAAATTTTGTATTATTGCAAAGAGTGTGAAAGTAAATTGCTATAATGGTTAAAAAATAAGTATACCCAAATACAATTTTCTACTTTTATTTATTCTTGTTACATCATTGTACTTCGAAATGCTTGTCCATTAACAATTTTCATCAAAATAAAAACCACTTTCAACTTCTATTTCATTTCACCTTCCAATTATATGATATTGTCATATTTTTCAAATATATTTTAAACATCATTTATCTGGACTACATTTACACAAACATTATTTATTTAACAAGGAAAAAACAATCCCTTATAATAGGTTT